AGCAACGGGATTCGGTTAATCCCTTATGTGGACGATCTCCTATTCATCAGTGCTACTTGGGCTGAGGCAATCCGAACACGAGCCGTCATTCTAGATGACCTCAGCTCCGCCGGCTTTGTCGTCAATATGGAGAAATCACAACTCGAGCCCTCGCAACGGCTCAAATTTCTTGGCCTCATGCTAGACACTCGCACCTCCTCCTTCTCTGTCGATGCTGACCGCCGAGGCTGGTTGTTTGAGGAACTCGACCATTTGTGCCGAATCAGCACGCAGGGCCGTCGTACCCCAGTTCGCCGAGTGGCTAGAGTGGCAGGCATGCTAGCCTCTATGACGCTGGCACTTGGCACCATCGCTCGTGCCTTCTCCCATCACCTGCTTTCTCAAATTAGTGCGTGCCAAACTTGGGGGGAATCCATTTACTTGACACCAGAGTCAGTTGACGAGCTGAGATTTTTGCTGACTCAGTTCGACGTCTTCAATGGTTATTGTTTCCATAATCCGCACATTTATGACGTGGTCATGTATGTGGATGCAAGCGACCATGCTTGGGGAAGCTGCTACTCTACGCCGGATGGTCACGTCGGCTCAAGTTCTTCTCCATTTCCTCGCACGCTATCAGCCGCCTCAAGCACGCATCGTGAACTCGCTGGGATTCTGTGGGCTCTGGCGTCTTTCAGCCGCGACATTCGGCGATCACATGTGTTGCTTCGGAGCGACAGCCAGGCAGCTTACTACATCTTAAAGAAGGGTGGTTCGCGCCACGCGGAGCTCACCCTAATTTGTCGCGCCATCATCACGCTTTGCGTGCGCCACAAGATTCGACTCACGGCACAGTGGATCCCTCGAGAGCTCAACACCGAGGCTGACGCGCTCTCAAAAATTGAACTTCATGATGACTATTGTCTCGCGCAGACATGGTTTCAATTACTCGAGCGTCGCTGGGGCCCACACACTATCGACTTGTTCTCGTCGCCGTCCAACGCACAGCTGCCCCGTTTTTGCTCTCTTAACTTTCATAAAGAGGCTGTCGTGCAAGATGCATTCTCTCTCAGTTGGACAGGAGAGAACTGCTATGCCTTTCCCCCACCGCCCCTAATCCCAGCTGTTATTGCTCACGCCCGTCGTTCCAGAACGGTGATAACTCTTGTGATCCCGGAGTGGCCTAGCTCTTTTTGGTGGCCATTGCTGCGCCCAAAGGGCACCGCGTGGGCAAATGATGTCCGCGAGAGCATGTATCTCGCCCATGGCTCCGTATGTCTAGGTGTTGGTAGCGATCCCCAGGCTTTTAGTGGTGCCGGTATTCCCCATTCGCACATGTATGCACTCCGTTTGATATATACTAATGCATAGTCATGTAAACATGCAGGATCTTACATTGGACGCTTGATGATGGACCTCTTGACACTCACAGTCGACTTGCGCGCTCAATCAACCATTCGCACATACAAACCATACTGGCGACAATATCGCGCCTTTTGTCACGAGCATTCGCTGCCATTCCTCCCCGCTACTGACCTGACAACGACTCTTTTCCTACTACACTCGATCCGAAGGGGCGCAACCGTATCGGCCGTGCGATCCGCTTGCTCCGCAATCTCATGTGCCCATTGGTTGGTCGGCTGCCCTTCTCCTATTCGAGGACCACTTTCTTCACAAGTGCGGGAGTATGCGCAGCGCCACTGTGGCAAACCCTCACTAGCAAAGGAATCGATACCCCCGGCGAAGATCTACGACATATGCGACATCTATTTCGCGTCGTCGGATCCCGCCACGTTCCAGCGCGGTCTCATTCCCCTTTTGATGTTCGCGGCCTTCCTGCGCTTCTCCGACCTGATCGCCCTCCAGTGGCACCAGATCGAATTCGATCGTGACTGCATGTGGCTCTTCATTCCCCGCTCCAAAACGGATCAGGCTGGATCAGGTGCCTGGGTCCCAGTTGCCGCCTCTACTGCTCGTCACTGCCCAGTCGCCCGCATGCAACAATTTCTTTTCCTCGCGGGATTCTCTTCACAGACATTAGGCGCCCTGATCAGGGTGTTCCCGCCTAATGCTCGCGCTTCGCCGTCGGACCGATCCCCCTCATATGCCACGGTTAGAAGCTGGTGTCGCGAGGCATTCTGTCGGGTCGGCCTCAACCCGAATGTCCTCGGCACGCATTCTTTCCGCAAATCGGCGGCCACTGTGGCAGTCGATGTGGGTGTTCCCAATCGACTCTTCAAGGCTCTCGGCCGATGGCGTAGCGACAAGGCTCGTGAGTTGTATGTCACTCAACTCGATCGCGAGTTGGTGGTGGCGTCTCGTACCCTTCAGGACCCGACGCGTCCTAGTCCAACCCATCGTTACGCATCCACCCTCGCACGTCATCGTCACATTCCCTCGATATGATGTCTCGCTTACCTATGACGAGTGCACTGCACACTCCTCGGAGAGTCGTGTCACAATATGTAAAAAAATTTAAAGATAAAAAATTTGAGGATTGTGATTCGACTAGTAGAGGAGTTTGCTGTAAAGGAGACAAACTCCTTGACATTCCTGCAGGTCTCTCAGACCTGCCACCTAGCCTCATTTGCATTTTCCAGATCTTGATTTGCTTCCCTCCCTCCCAACCCCCTTTTATCGTAGACTGTTCTTGTAGCTTATGGTTGAACCAACTGTTATTGCCTATCAGAGTGTGCTGTATAATTGAGATTTGTAATGCTATGACGACTGCGCTGCACACTCCTCGGAGAGTCGTGTCACAATATGATAAAGTGCAACTATGCTACAACAAAGCCAGCCACCATCTTCAGCTATCACCTCCCACTGGCAGGTGTCGTCGTCCCGTACGACGACGTTGGATCCCGCCAGATTTTTGAATTAACATGATTTTCAAAATTGGGGTCGTCACCAGCGCGCTCACACAACCCGGATAATCGTGTCCTTTGCGATCGGGTCCTCGCAGCGACGGCCGTTGTTGAGGGCCGCGAATTTGAACTGCTTGCCTGCGTAGTATCGCTTCAGCAACACGGCGCACGTCTCGCCGCGAGTCTGGTAGTGCTCCGCGAGATCCACCATGCTCTTCCTCCTCGCCGCCAACGGAACTGTGTTAAGGATGTTATTTACAAATATATGTTGAAGAGCAGCATAAGTTCCAACGCATCCGCATTTCCAAACGCAAAGCATCAGCATCGATGCTCAAATGGGACCAAGTAGTAGGTCTGAAACCGGAGAATACGGAGGTGCCACGACGTAGTGCGGCTGCATACTGCAGGTAACACTGGACAACAGGGATAGTATTGGAACGCTTGGGCACGGCGGGAGGCGCAACTCACCGTGGGATGCGAGGAGAAGCGCCAGCGCCAACACCAGCATGGCGCGGACAATGTTCGCGAGGCGGAAAAACGTTGCCATGATGGCCTAAAGGAAGACCGGATTGACAGATCAGAGAGAAATAGATGCGATCAGGAGAAAGGAGATGGAATGATTCTGATGAATGCTATGTTCCAGGAGTGCGGTATTTATGCCACAAGACATCCAAATCAAGGCACATGAAAAACCTGGGGTCAAATTGGATTTCATGGGTACGACCAGGGTGTTGAACAATGCAATGCGTTCCAGTACGGTAATCTTCACCTCTGCCACCGCTATTCACGCCGCCAAGTATGGTGATCATGGCGTATGAAAAGCATTGGGTTCAAAATGGCATTTATGTGTTCGACCGAGGTTTCAAACTACGCAATACGTTCCCGTACGGTAACTTGTTTCACCTCGCCATCAATTTTGCTGCTAACGCGTTTCTCAAGTAGCAACGCGATCCGAGGCGCGATGAGGAAGCCGAGAAATGCGGGGCTTTGTGGCTTTGAATACTTTATAATCACCAACCACACCAATACCAAAGTGTAGATATTACAAATAGCATTGACACGACTGCTATAAAAGAACTCAAATTGTGTGCTCCAGGTAGCCATTTTGCGGCAGGCAGAGCTGAGGGGGGAGAAAATGGGGGTAAAAATCAGTCATCTTTTTTTGAACCGTCAGCCATGCCCGAAGGGCGTACATGCAGGGCCTCAGGATGTTCTAAATCCTAGCAAAGGCCCTGGCATTACCTGACTGTACATTCCCATTCTGGTCGACTATTTTCTTCATTCTAACAATATTTGCACGCTTTTTTGTAGCCTAGATTTGGTTGTGTTATAGAGGATATGGACTGCTCCCGTACATATCCAGTATGCTCTCATTCTTGTCGGTCGTTCACTTGTTAACATAAAAAGCACCAATAAATGTGCAATAAAACAAGTTACGCTCTTCTGTTCGGTTATCGTTGCCTGGAAAAGAAGGCATGGTCGGGCAGGTTCGCATCAATCTGCCGAAGCCATTGCGTTGCCGCCACCTCCAAGCCCCGCACAGCCCCCCGGTCTGACCACACCGTCCCCCACGTCTTGTACCCCGCAAAGCCAAACGGCACCAGAGGCGTCGTGAAAACCCCCCGTTGCCTCCCCTCGCTCGCCCCGTCAGCTGAATCCGACGATGGGCGGGCGGGCAAGTGCTTGGCGGATTGGAAGACGGGCAAGGAGGGCGGCGCGATCCAGAACCTGGCTCTGCAGAGGCTGCACGACCCTGGGGTGCAGAGAGAGGGTGAGAGCAGGGTAGGTACAGGCAAATAGAAGAGCTACTTTGACATGCAAGCATGTACGATGAGTACGAAAGCTCATGAGGGATGCAGCTTGGGAGGGATGCAGCTTCGGAGGGAACACAAGCAAGGAATCAGCACAAGGAGCGAGCAAGAAAGCATCCGAGTTCTCTTTTCAGCCTTGAAAAAGAAGGCGCGACAATGACAGGGGCTGCTGATCAATCAGGCAAGGGGCTGCTGATCATTCAGGCAAGGGGCTGCTGAAAGATGAGGCAAGGGGCTGCTGACAGATGAGGCAAGGGGCTGACCGGAGGAGGAGGGCAGAGGGGAGGAGAGGCTGTGGAAGGTGAGGAAGGAGGCGGCGAGGTCCCGCGTGGTGGCGGCCGTGGGAATGCTGTACACCGGGTACCTGCGCTCGCTCGCAGGGGTGATGGGCGCGCAGGGGGGATGGGCGCGCAGGGGGGATGGGCGCGCAGGGGGGATGGGCACGTGGGATGAGACGGGGGAGGGAGCACGAGGGACAGTGGCAGGCCGTGGGAATGCTGTACACGGGATACCTGTGCACGCAGGGGGGATGGGCGTGTGAGGGGTGATGGCAGTGGGACGGGACAGGACCGGGGGGAGCATGGTGTCGTGAAAACCCCCCGTTGCCTCCTAGACGGAAACCGCTCCCAAAAGCTGTTGACCCTGCAGATCCAATCCCAGCATCGAGCAGAGAGGGGGTTGCCAAATTGCAATGTTTGCTTACAAATGTTCCACGCCGTACCGTTGTGCCCAAATCAAGGCCGCGATTAGTTCTGCTCGAGAGCTGCAGCTGGTATTGATAAGGACGTAATGGCGTTTCGTGATGGCGAGTCGTCGGCGGATTGGATGGCGCATCTCGAGCGCACCTTGCGCTCCACGCAGCCTGGTGGGTCGCCGTTGAAACCACGGTGCGCAGCACATGTAACCGGCGTAACCCTAAAATCGCAATTAATCGTAACCCTAAACTCACTGGAGTTCAAACCCTGAGTTCCGTACGCGCGGATCTATTGATCGCTAGGTGTTAGTCCTCACTTCCGCGCCGCTTCCATCGTCACTGCGAAAGAGTTGTTCTTCTGCTCCACGCCGAGCCGCCTCCTTCTCCCTGCCTTGTCATTCTCACCCGCTGTGCCTTGTCATGCCATCGCCTGCTTCCGTTCCGGCGAATCTCAACGGCGTCACTAACCAACTTTCGCCCGCTCCTCCACTCGCCCCCACCTCGTCCCAATCTCCCTTCAGCCCTTTCCGCTCCCCGCCTTCGTCCTCGTCCCCGTTTCCTGCCACCGTCAGCCGCGCTGCTTTCTCTGCACTCCGCTCGCCCCGCTCTAGCGGGCTCGCAGCAGAGGAAAAACATTCGGCGCCGCACCTTACACTCGCCTCACTCGCCCACTCCCTCTCCCCTCTTCCCCACTCTCTCCCCTCTCTCCGCTCTTCCGCACCCTATCCCCTGGATCCCCTCTCTCTCCTCTCTCCCTTGCATCCCTCCCTCTCACTCCCTCTCCCACCCTTTCCACCCTTCCGCCTGTCCCCGCCCTCTCAGCCACTCAGTGCCACGGAATTCTCGCAGCCGGGCCTGCCCTCGTGCACTGGACGCTGGCGCAGCAGCCAGGGAGGAGCGCAGGGGCGGGGAGAAGGAGGAAGAGGGGGAGGGAGACGGAGAGCCGGAGGAGGAGCGGGTGGGAGGAGCAGGGGCAGCAGCGACAAGCCCTTCAATTCGTTGGTTCTGCGCCTGGCTGATGCCTTCAGCAGCAGCAGCAGCAGCGCCACCCGCCTCTGCATTCTCAAGCTCTTCCTCCTCCACCTCTCCACCGCCACTTCCCCTCTCCCTCCCTCTCCTCCCTCTCCTCCTTATCCCCCTGCTCCTTCTCCTCCTTCTCCGCCCTCTCCTGCATCTCATCATGCCACGCCAGCTGCACCCACTGGCCAATCCCTCGCACCTGCTGCCCTGAGAATGCCCCCCTCTGCTGGGTGGCGTGACGCGGACGGTGACGCCATGCCTGACGTCGGCAGCATGTGTGACGTCAGCCTGCTGCACTGGCGATGGAGGAGGGAGGGAGAGCGAGTGAGGGATGTGTGGAGGGGAGGGAGAGTGGTCGTGAGGGGAGCAGAGAGAGAACGTGGTGGTGCTGGCGTTGATGGTGATGATGATGGAAGCAACGGTGCTAGCAGCAGTGGTGATTGCTGTGAGAGACATGGAGATAGTGATGCTGATAGTCATGGTGGTGATAGTGATGGTGGTGCTGGCGGTGACTGGGCAGGCGTGTTGATTCCTCAGAAGCTCTTGAATCCAACCCAAGTCATCACCCGCATCTCCCCTCTGCTCTCTCGCTCCTCCTCCTTCCCACTCCCACCCACCGTCGCCGCAGCAGCAGCAACAGTCACAGTTACAGCAGGCACAACTGCAGCCATGCCAAGTGACTCCCCGTCGCCACCGTCGTCCCTTGCTGCTGGCGCTCTTGACGCTGTTGACTCCGTTGACTCCCTGGAAGCCCGCTGTCTCGCGCTGCGCCTGATTGGCTGCCTTGCTCCGCTGGCTGCTGACGTGGCACACGTGCAGGAGCTGGTGGTGCGGGCGGCGATGGAAGCAGAGGGACAGCAGGAGGTGAGCAAGGGAGGGAGAAGAGAAGGGGAGGAGGGGAAGGGGGGGATAAGGGGGAGTAGGAGGTGAAGCGGGTGGTGTGTTTAGGTTTGCATGCCTGTGTGCCTGTGTGTGTGCGCCTATGGTGTCATTATTCTGCATAAGTTGCTTGCTTTTCGCTTTATGGTACTCTCACAATTTTACCCCCCCCCCCCCCCCCCCCCCTCCTCCTCCCCCCCCTCACTTGCTGCACCTCGCCCATCTCACTCCCCCCCCGGCTCCCCTTCCTGCCGCCTGAATAGCCGCCCGTCCTCCCCTCCCTTATTCCTGCTCGCTGCTCGCGCTGCATCCTCTGCCTTGTCTTCCTTCCCACCCCAACCTCCATGCACACACAATTCACCCTGAATCCTCGCCTTCTCCATACAACTGTCCCACCCCAACCTCCACGCAGCTCTCCTTGCGGCCACATTCCTCTGTGTTGTCTCTGCCCCCTTCATCCTCAATCCCCCTTCTTCACCTCTATTCCTCGCGTCTTTCCCTTCCCCGCCTCTCTCCCTTATTCCCCTCCTTCCCTCCCTCCACTGTTCCTCTTCCCCCCACCCTCAGCTCTCTTCGCGCTCACCTTCCTCCCATCCTTCGATTAAAATTTCAACAACCTCCCCCACCCTTTCCTCCCAACCCCATCACCCCAACCCCCCCCCCCTCCCCTCTCCCCTTCCCCAACCCCCCCCCCCCCCCCCCCTCCCTTCCCCAACCCCCCCACATCCCAACCCACCACCCCAGCAGCGCCATGCAGCTCTCTTCGCGCTCACCTTCCTCTGTGACGTCTCTCCTCCCTTCGCCCTCCACACTCTCCCCCTCCTCCTCTCCCTCGCTCTCCCCGCCTCCCCACCGCCACCCCTGCCCCTCTCCCTCAAACGCCATCTGCACCGCTTCTCACACCTGCCTCTCCCACACAAAGTCAAGCACACAGAGGGAAGGCTGGAAGAGGGACAAGCACACAGAAGGAAGGAACAGAAAGGACAAGCACAGCGCGGCGAGAATGTGACTGGGAAGCAGCAGCAGCAGCATGCCAGTCTGATGGCTGGTGAGGAGAGGGATGGGGAGGGGGGAAACAGGGAACATTTGTGTGAGGAGGTGATTCTTGATTTGGGTGCGAGTGGCAGCAGTGTTGTTGAAGTGCCTAGCGGGGCATGAGGAGACGCTGTGGGGCGCGTGGCGTGGCAGGTGAGAAATCGGATGGGAGGTGAGAAGAGGGATGGGATGGGGGAGAACGGTGTGGATGGGACGGGGAGAAAGGGGTTGGATGGATAGGAGGGTCAGAAGTGGGAGAAGCTTGGTGAAAAGGTGACTTGGTGGGCCTAGAGTACAGCAGCAGGAGACGAGTGGCGAGGCAGGTGAGGCAGGTGAGGCAGGTGAGGCAGGTGAGGCAGGTGAGGCAGGTGAGGCAGGTGATGACACAAGAGGGAAGCACAGCAGCAAGAGTGGTAAGAAGGGCCGCTTTGGTGGCCGATTGAGTGTCTGATGGGACTAAGCTGTCCTTAACATGAAGTGCTCTAAGTGTCTGATTGGTCATTGGACTACTCATAACGTGTGGTGAGTGACCACGTGTGGTGAGTGACCACGTGTGGTGAGTGACCACGTGTGGTGAGTGACCAGACCACTCATAACCCCAAGAGTGCAATGTGTGGTGGAGGATGGTAAGGCACCTTCGCCGACTTGTGTGGTGAGTTGCTTTTCACGAATTCTTTGTTACTTCTTCGAATGGCATGCGTGGTGATGGATGTGTAATGTGGTCTTATTCTTCACTTCTTTCCCAGTCTCACCTTCCCTGCTCCTTGCTCCTTTTCACCTCCCCTGCTCCTTGTTTCTCCCAGGTGGCAGTCTGCCTGCTCTCTGCCTTCCCCTGTGCCCCGTGGTCCCCACTACTGCGATCGTGGGTGTGCGCACTGCAGGCACAGCTCGGCTGATCACTGATTCGTTGCTGTGACATCACATACATACATTCATACTCGCGCATGCATTCACTCTCATACTACCCTTGCATACGTTCCCACTCATGTCCCCACATGCATTCACACTCACGTTCACATGCACTCACACCCACGCCCTTCTCATTGACACACTCTCGTGTGGGTTCAAACCGTTTGCATGCATGCTAGCATGTATGCTCTCACAGGCACGCATGGTAGTGTGTATGCTCTCACAGGCACGCATGGTAGTGTGTATGCTCTCACAGGCACGCATGGTAGTGTGTATGCTCTCACAGGCACGCATGGTAGTGTGTATGCTCTCACAGGCACGCATGGTAGTGTGTATGCTCTCACATTCATGCACGGTACAGTTCATACTCTCACATGAACTCACCTCAACATCCCCTGTGATCCCTCCAGGCATACAAACACGACTATCAACTCGCTCCTGGAAATGTATTAGCATATGAGCATTACCATATTGTGTCATCCAGACCATTTTTTTCGTGCTTCGAGACTACCAAAATGGCCCCTTTCAAATCCAACGTCGTCCCTTTCAATTCCTTAGAAGCCCTCCGGAATATCCAGGGTATACCAGCACTGCAAACTAGTGGTAAGCTTCAGGTGCAAGTCACCTTTCAATGGTTACAGAGCAGTAAAATACTGGTATTGCAATCACAACTTGTGATGAGTGGAACAAAACCAGTACATGTAGAGGGTAGACCAAATACTGTAATGAATACCGTATTACCCCGGATAGTAGCGCATATGCGCTTATAATAAAATCGATTTTTTTAAGGGGGGCGCTTGTAATTGAGTATCGGCCATAAGCGCCGGCGCTTATGTAATGACAAATACAGAAATACAAATTAAACGCACAAAATTGTACATTTCAGTCTCGTAAGTCCAATCGAATCGAACTTTTACAGCGTCCTGAATCAGAATCGCGCGAGGGCGATTCCCTGACTGTGCACATAGATTTGGCACGTCACTTTGCCCGCGTGCCAGCTCATCCTGACTGGACGCGCAACAAGTGAAGCCTTCGAAAGTCAAAACAAATTGAAATTGGGTGTTGACTCGCTTGAAATTCGAAATTCGTTACCGTTTTAAACAGGATTGTAAAATAAAATTAGGCATGCGCTTATAATAAATCAGGGTTTTACAGGGGGGGCGCTTATAATCGAGTTCCGGCCATAAGCGCATGGCTCCAGATAGAAGCGCCGGCGCCCTTAAACGGACGGCGCTTATATCCAGGGCCATACGGTAGTAGTGTTGTGCAAATTGGCAAACTCGAAATGATCTGACAGAGAGTTGTGGTGGATAAACTGCTACCTAAATTTTGCAATGGAGACTTGCTTCGTGTGTTGGAATAATCAAGCTTAGCTAAGACACGTATATCAACAGCATACGGTATGTACTAAGGTAGCTTCACTAACAGCGGCGTCCTAATGGAGAATGCAGTACCTTTATGATAATTCAATATGTAAAAAATTTTAAAGATAAAAAAAATCAAATTTGAGGATTGTGATTCGACTAGAGGAGTTTGCTGTAAAGGAGACAAACTCCTTGACATTCCTGCAGGTCTCTCAGACCTGCCACCTAGTCTCATTTGCATTTTCCAGATCTTGATTTGCTTACCACCAGCACACTCTCTAAACCCTTCTACCTCCTATGCCTAGGACTAGGCTGTCAGAATGTTATTATTAAGACAAGACTCTTCAAGGAGTCTGCAGAGCAGTCGTCATAGAGTCGTCATAGCATTTAAGATCTCAATCATACAGCACACTAGTGTCAGATTTATATGACAGAGCTACTGTAGGCTATAGTGGGGTAGCACATATGGGGTACAGTTTTCTAGGGTTTGCATTTGTACCCAACTTTCCCTTAGTCTTTCTCATTCCTCGTTTCTTCTCATGGTATCGAGCAGGTTCCCTAGTGGGAACGATTCCTAGGGCCCACCACCACGAATTTTTTTTTTTTCCTGCCCGGAGCGCGCTTCGCTCAGGCCCGAGTCGCGCCCTGTGTGCTCTCCCTCCCGTCGCGCCCTCGCTAGGCCCCTCACGGCCCCGTCGCGTCGCCCTTAGCGGCCCCCTCACGGCTCGTCGCGCCGCCCCCTACGGCCCTTCGCGCCGCCCTTACGGCCCTTCGTGCCGCCCTTACGGCCCGTCGCGCCCGTCGCGCCGCCTTTACGGCCCCTCGTGCCGCCCCTTACGGCCCCTCGCGCCGTCCCTTACGGCCCCTCGCGCGGCCCCTTACGCCCCTTACGGCCCCTCTCGCGGCCCCTCACGGCCCCCTACGGCTCGTCGCCGCCCTCCGCGGCCCCGCCACCTACCTGTGCGGCCCCGCCACCTACCTGTGCGGCCCCGCCACCTACCTGCGGCCCCGCCACCTACTAGCGGCCCCGCCACCTACCTGCGGCCCCGCCACCTACCAGCGGCCCCGCCACCTACCCGCGGCCCCGCCACCTACCTGTGCTGGCCCCGCCACCTACCTGCGGCCCCGCCACCTACCAGCGGCCCCGCCACCTACCTGCGGCCCCGCCACCTACTAGCGGCCCCGCCACCTACCTGCGGCCCCGCCGCCTCCTCTCAGCGGCCTCGCCGCCTCCTCCCAGCGGCCCCGGACGCCGCCCTCTCAGCGGCCCCGCCGCGCCGCCAAGCAGCCGAGCCGCCCAGCCGCCGAGCCGCCCAGCAGCCGAGCCGCCCAGCAGCCGAGCCGCCGAGCCGCCCAGCAGCCGAGCCGCCGAGCCGCCCTGCAGCCGAGCCGCCGAGCCGCCCAGCAGCCGAGCCGCCGAGCCGCCCTGCAGCCGAGCCACCCGAGCCGCCCTGTCCGGTAAGAGCAGCGCCTCTTTCATAGCACTGCCCTCACCCTACTGTTTGCGCTGCTAGTCTACTGCTGTCATGGCTACCCCTAGTGTCCTCGCTTTTGACGCTGAGGGTTGGGCCATTGACTTTGACGTCTGGATAGATGACCTGCAGCTTTTCTTACAGTGCGACAGAGCAGACGGCCTCTCCCTCTTTGACCTCACTTCTGGTGCCTCCCCTGCCCCCGCTGCTGATGCTGACGCCACTGTTCGCTCACAGTGGGCCACGCGCGATGCTGCTGCACGTCTTGCTGTGCGTCGCCACCTGCCTACCTCTGAGCGTGCGCACTTTAGCCAGTACAAGAGTGCTCACACCTTGTACGACGCTGTAGTTGCGCGCTACTCCTCCCCTGCCACTGCTGCACTGAGCCGCCTCATGCTACCGTACCTCTTCCCTGACCTTGCTGCCTTTCCCACAGTCGCTGACCTCATTACGCACCTCCGCACTAGTGACACTCGCTACCGCGCTGCGCTTCCTGCTGAGTTCTGCGCCAAGAACCCCCCCCCCATGTACATCACCCTCTACTACATAGTCACCCGGCTCCCTGACTCCCTTCGCGTAGTCAGGGACCACTTCCTCTCAGTTTGCCCCACCACTCTCACCGTTGACCTCCTCGAGAAGTCCCTCCTAGCAGCAGAGAAGAGCATAGTCGCTGTAGGAGCCTCTCGTGGTGACCCTCGCACCCCCATCTTTGAGGGGTGTTCCCCCTCCCCCCTTTTGCCCTCTGTTGCCTCTGCTGCTGCGGCTGACATCGTTGGGCTTGAGTCGGTCGGTGCGGCGTCTACCCCTAGCGGGAGACGCCGCACT